CTTCTTGTGCTCAGTGCTGGACTACTAGGCTGAAGTCTTTTGCTCCTCGTGCCCATTGCAGGGCTATCAAGCTACAACAAAAGATTCTTTGCAACATTTTTATCTACTTCTTTCTTCCTCCTTTTGCCTTTTAACTTGACAACAACAGCTTGTGGTTTATATTTGGATGAGGGAAGCTCAATTGAAAGTGGTTCAGGTTGATTTGAACCACTTCTGGACCTATACATGTTCATGTGTATGAAAACATTATTTGAGATATATTTGATATACATTTCGGTAATAAAGAACTTATAAATATATTGGATATACATTTCATATAGAAGGGGCTGGCAAAATCAACAAACTAACCATGCAAAATAAATTCAGATTTAGTATAGGCTACCTTTTTGATGCTCCAGAGTTAGAGGAATCCTGCTTTCCCTTTTTCCTACTTGTAATCTCCGAGCTTATATTACAAAAAAGAAGAGAGTTTGGTACTTAGAAGTCACCATTAGCTTTCTATTAGTAAAATATTTATTCAAGTTTTTATTAATTACCTTCCTGTTGGTCTAGAATTAGAGGCAGCACCCTTTCTCTTCTTACTAGCTGTGGGTTCAGGTTCCAAGTTTTGACTACAGTAATATTGAAAGTACTAGGATGAGACACCATGAATTGGAATCTAAATACAGAAAGTGGAAATTGAGCTAACCTTGGTGGAAAAGTCATAGAACGTGTTGGTGCTTCATCCTCCATTGGCACAATGGAACTCTCTGTTGATTTGGTAACCTTCTTCCTCTTTTTCGGTGTTCCTCTACATAAGCAAATAGATAGTAAAGAATATGATCTAATTAAAAAAATATGCATAGAAGATGAAATGTACCTAAGAGTTTTCATTGCTTCAATATCTTCTTTGCTGCCCTTCCTGCAATTGTGCCAGTGATGCCCATATTCCTTACAGATAGGACACTGGTGCTGCCATAGGACACTGGTGCTGCCCTTTTTTACCCTTCTTGTCACTATGGCCTTTGTGTCTCTCGGTTTTATGCCTACCAGCTACAGACATTAGTAGTGGTCCATACATGAAGAAGCCATGGGTAGATTTAGGCCACTGTGTCTTGTCAGGAATAGCAGGGATTAATGCACTATAGGCTCCTCTAAATTTCTCAATGGAGTAGTAGAAGTCAACATATTTATCAATAGGTGCATTAGGTGGTGCTGTAATGAATGCAAGGGCATGTTTGCAAGGAATGCCAGAGACTTGCCATTGTCTGCAAGAACATGTTCGATCAACCAAGTTCACCACAAACCTAAAGCCGCTGCCACCAAATAAGGTAATTTCAGCCACCTCTTATGAGCATTCTGATACATCCAAGTTCAATTCTCTACTCTGTTCATTTAGCTTCTTAATTATGTGGGGAAGAATGAAGCCATCTAATTTCTTTCCAATTTTTCTCCTTTGGTTCCACTTGATCATAATTAATTGTCTGATCTTATCCATCAAATCATCCAAATTCATGGACATGTATTGCTTAATCCAATTGTTGAAGCTCTCCGCCAAGTTGTTGGTCACATAGTCCACTTTGCAAATTGTTTTGAATTGACTTCTAGTCCACAACTTCTTGTGACGTCTTAGGTAATCAGTTGCAGCAGGCTTTGCTTTCTCCATCTCAACCCAATGCTTCTTAAACAAGTATGGGTTCCATGAGTAAGTTGCTGCCCAGAGGTGATCATCAAACACCTTCCCACGGTACCTCTTTTTGAAATTAGTCACCAAGTAAAACATGCACTCTCTATGCTCTACCTGTGGAAATACTTCAGCAACAGCTCCCATGATTGCCTGCCCTGCATCAGTGCTTATTGCCAAACCCGGAGGTGACCCAATAGCCTCTCTAAGCCTACTCATGAACAAGATCCAATTGTCATTAGTTTTGGAATCAAAAACTCCAACACAAACAGGATACAACCAACTATGTCCATCAACTGCACAAGCACATTTAGAGTACGTGTTAAATTCATATAGAGTACCTCTTCGTCCACAACTATCAATAAAAAAGTATTGTATCAAACATTCAAACATCAGCTGTTTGTGGATCAATTTCACTACTATAGCCTATAGGAGAATCAAATTTAGATTTTGGAACACTGAATTGACACAAGGGAAAGGGAGAATCGTTGCCAAAGCCTAAAGACCAATAACGGTTTAGCTTTCACTGGCCTCTGTACGCGGCCCAATAGGCCTAGCTAGAGTCCAATAGTTTTCTGGTCCGTAGAATCTAGTGCGTCCGCCGTCGTCTACCTCCTGACTCCCGAGACACCATCCCTCGCGTAAAAAACAGAAGCCAAACATGGAGAATAGGCAGGCCGTAGACATAGAGATAATAAACTCACCCTGCAGGGAGTTGGTGCTATGTCCTGGATGTGCCGCCTTCCACTGTGGCCGTGACGCCCGTCTCCATGGCCACGAGTGGCGCTTCCGTGGCCGCATCGTCCTCCTCCGAGGCCGCGCCGCGCGGCAACGAGATTGCGCCGCCCGCCACCAACGCCGCACGGGGTGCTTGCTTGGCCGCACGAGGCGTGTGCTTGGCCGCGTCGCCCGCTCCTGTGATCGCGTCGCCCGCCTCTGAGCTCGCGCCGCACGCCTGCTTGGCCGCTCTGCCCCCCACCGTGGCCGCTCCGTCCTCCACCTCCATGGCCACGCGGGAAGGCTGCTTGGCCACGCGCGTCGCCTGCTTGGCCGCGTGGACGTCCGTCGTGGCCGCATCGATCTCCGCCGTGGCAGCGCACGGTGCCTCCGTGGCCGCGACGCCATCAGCCGAAGCCGTGCCACCCTCCCCAGAAGCCGCGCCGCCCTCCACCTCCATGGCTGCGCCGCCCTCGATCTAGGGTTAGGGGAGGGAAACGGCCTGTACGACCGCGACTCGAGACGAGTCGACCAAGTTACGAACTGCCGTGGTGGACTTCATTTTCTTTTCTTTAGTGACAGGGCATTATGGTCTTTTTGCGTTGCCTCAGTTGGACAACTGACGATGTTTCCTCATAGATCTGACGGAGGTGTCAAGTAGCTAACAAAAACTCAAGTTAGGGACATATAAGAAAGATTTTTAGTTTCGGTGTCAAATAAGAAAGAAGCATTATTTTTAGGGCTAAATACAAAATTTTCTCTAGGTTAAGCTAGAATCTCTTCATCCAGGTTCAAGTTCTCAATTTGATGTGTGATTAATGATGTTCTTTTTCTAATAGTAGGCAATGTGCCTCCGATAGCAAGACTACACATAGGAATATGGTGCATATGCGTATGTTCATAGGATAAGTGTTCGTGTGCACATCCGTACTGTGATTCGTATAAAAGATTGTAGGATACTTTTTAAAAATATGAACGTAAAAGAGAATTGTCTGTTATATTGATAAAAATAATTAAGCACAAAACATTACAACTCCTTGTGTGGATAGCCCCTAAACCTTCCCACGTGTAGGTGGGTCTCCAAGATGACCTTTTTAGACTTCACGTCGTCTTCACTGTCGAGTTTTTGACTTAAATGTCTTAGGCATCATTCCCTTCCTTACAAGCCACTACAAAAACGATTGATGTGATAGGGCGCGCTAGGTAGATGTTGAGCGGCTGAGGCGTTGGCGGAGCTGGCCGCGTTCGAGGGCGTAGGCGATGCTGCCACGTCTGTAGAGAGGGAGAGAGAGGAAGAGGAGGCGGGGGCGGGGGCAGGGGTAGTGGACAAGGGCCCGGCCGCTCGCCAAACTACGTCATGTCGGGGGTGGGCAGCCGCGCAAGCGCAACACGGGTTGCGGCGGTGATCTGGACGAAGAGCGAGCGCGAGAAAGAGGGGAACGAGAGAGACCGAGAGATACTGAGGCTTGGAAGCGGCGTTTCGTGGGGGAGAGAGAGGGGGGAACAGACAAGGGAGGGAAAAAATGCACATCCGTGTAGGGGACGATGCGAGGAAAAGAAAAACCTGGACACATGCTAGGGGCGCCTCTAGCGGTTCCTAGCGCGGTGAATTTCGGGACACGTGGCGATGGTGGTTATTGATGCGGCGTGGCTAGCGCCCGGACGAACGGACGCTAGCCCCCGTCCGGACGCCCGCGTCCACTCCGCCTGCTGCGCCCGTCTCGCCTACCATGCATGTTGCTAAGCCTGCCCCGCCTTTTTCAAAAAAAAAGGTCTGCCCCGCTTGCCCCACATGCAACTCTGCGCCTGCACACCCGCCCCTGCATGCTAGTGCGCCTACGCATGCAGATGTGCGCCTCGTGCCTACTGATGCCCACCTCGTGCCTGCTGATACGCATGCAGGGGGGACCGCTACGCTCGTGGGGACCGCATCTGCATGCGCCCGCTTCCTATGCCTGCTAATGTTGCAACATGAAAACACTTCCGCAACATACGTCTGAAACAGGTGAAACATTTACAAATATAAGTTTGCAACATACGTGTATAGCAACCAGAACATCCAGATAAACACTCTTTGCAACATACGTCTAAAACAGATGAAACATTTTGAATAGACGCTTGGAACATATGTCTGAAACATATGCAATATTGCAACATATGCAACATCCATATGAAACGCTTGTAACATAGGTCTGAAAACAGGTGAAATATTTGAAACATACACTTGCAACGTACATATATAACCACTGCAATATATGCAATATCCAAATAAAAACACTTGCAACATACGTTTTGAAACAAATGAAACATTCACTCGCAACATACGTGTATAACCATTATAACATATGGAACACTAGATCTACTTTTGCAACATACAAATAAAACAACATACATCTGAAACACATGAAACATATGGTTGTAACATGCGCTCATCTACTTGCTGCCACCCAATGGAGGCTAGTTGACTCGCGTGCGGGAACGCAGCGTGAGGCGCGGGTGGTGTGTGGCGCGAGGCACGGACGAGGTGCGGGGCGCACGTGGCGTGAGGCGGGTCCGGTACGACCGTGCGAGGCACGAGGTTTTTTTAGAAAGTGCGAGGTGCGAGGTGCAGGGGCGCACGATGCGCGGCATGTGGCGGGTCCGGGACAGACGTCTTGATAGGGCATTGCCATTATTGATGATGTGGAAGGGCTGGTAAAGGCAGGCAACTAAATTTTTAGAGTTATAAATAAATTAGAAGACGTTGGTATACAATAATAGTGTACATAAGGTCCATAATTTTCTAAACATAATTAGAGTTAAAAGAACAAAATTAAGGATGTTTTTAGAACGCATGAATCTTATAATAATCATACTTGAATTTTACAGAAATCAGTTAATTTTTACGCCGAAACGTAAAAAAGATGAAAATAGCTGCAATCCAAAGGGGTCCTAAAACTAGTTGCATTTTTTAACACTGTAATAGTTTACCGATATGCACCGTGTTCGGCTGGGGTTGGCTGGCTAGCTGGGCTGGCTAGCCCCTCACGTGAACGTTGTTCACATGAACCAGCCAGCAGTACTTCTCTCTTATATAAACGAACCAGCAACGATACGAACCAGTGAACCGAACCTGCTAATGCATCGTTAGTTGGTGCCAGCTTGCTGGAGTCTGATTCCGATTCAAGTCCCTTCGGCTTCTGCACCTGCTCTAGAAAAAAAATGCAATTCTACTTAGACACGACAATTGCTTTTTTTTTCTTTCTTTTCTTTTTTAACGGAGGACAAACAGCAGCAAACAACCCGCCACGCCGTCCTGACGGCCATGGCCCAAGCCTTCTCTTCCCCTCACATCCCGTCCTCGTCTGGGTGACTCGCCGCCCTCCTCCCTCGACGCCCTCGCCGTCCGCCTCCACCACGAGAACGAGCGCCTCTCCTATTACGGGATGCAGACCGCGCCGCAGGGCCGTCGCGCCGGCGGCCTCCCTCCACCTCGTCCCCGGGGAGATCGCCGAGGTCGCGCGCAACAAGGTTAGTTGCTCTCCTGCTGGTTGGTACCCGGCCAATAGGGTACTTCTTTTCCTTTTCTTTTTCTATTTCTTTTTTGAATGTTTGTCTGGTTTTCTCTGAAGGTTTTGATTGCGGCGACGGTGGCGAGCGCTATCGGGCAGCTGTCCAAGCCTTTCACGTCGGGCAAGAATGGGGGCGCCGGCGCCGGCCTTGACCTGAGGACCGTCTTCCGCTCCGAAGGGATGCCCTCTACCCACTCCGCGGTGAAAACATCTGATAACCCACCCCAGTCCCTTACCATTTCTTTTTCAGTTTCTGCGTTACTCGCCAACTTTGGGGATACCTCTTCCACATGTTTGGGCTGTTGTGCTAAGTTGTGATGTGGATAACCTAGTCACAGGGAAAATGTTTGTCTTGTGTGGTGAACTGTTATGCACAATGAATGATTGAGGATGGCTATGTATCTAGAATGAATTTGACCATTGAGGAGTTCTGAAATACAACGTACCCCAAATGGCTATAAAATTGAATTGAAACAAATGTGGTGGTTTGTCAAACAAGAAGTGCTGCAAGGTCCTATCTGAAACTGCTGTTTTTTTTATTGTAGTGTAAAGTAATTCTGTTTTAGCCTTACCTTTTCATGTAAAGCTTTCAACTCCCTTTGGCACTGACCCTTCTAACAGTTCCGAGTTCTAACAAAACTTTCCTATCTTGTAGATTGTTGTTGCAGTTGCTACTTCGCTTGAGCTAGAAAGGTTAGTTCTTGAACATTTGTGCTGCAGAACTTAGTTGTTTCTGCGTGTTTTCACCCTAAGCTCGATGCTTTTGTTTTTCTTGACTATTGATTTAGTGTGCCTTGCAGACTCCATATTCGGAATGTCAGTGGTATTTGCAGCCATTGTAATGTATGATGCTCAGGTACATTGTTTGTTTATTTGTTCCAGAGCTCATTTCAATCCAATACTGAATACTCCAATCTTTTCAATCCACTGGATCAGACTAGTTAGAATTTACTGTGCGAGAAACAAATATTGATTGCAAGTTAGTTGCTGCTCTCCTTAGTTGCCGTATTTGCTCATCTCATCTGCCTTCTTTGCTGCCACCACTTCTGCTTGTTTCTTACCTCAATCTTGGTCGCAGTAAGGCCTTCTTGTAATTAATGTAGTTTTCTTCCCCTTTGGATTGATATATAGATTTGGTTGATACTCCTACTTAAGCAAGGAAGAAAATAATGTAGTGGCTTTGTTGGTCTAGGCACAAAGTTTCTTATGTCATAAAAGGACCACCTTATGTAATGAATCTGCAAATGTTCAGTAAACGGATTGGTTGATTTCTTTCCTTAATGGAAGCCAGGGGCATGTGTTATATATCTTGAGCTTTGAGTAAGGGGTGGGAGATCCATACCTTATAAATCAATATCTTAGTATTGACGGACTAAGCTTGACTATGCACTCTACAACTAGTTTCATATCAAAATTCATTATATTGTTAATGGATGATTTTACATGGTTGTCTGTGTAGCTTGCAAAACAGAATGATGTGGCAAAAATAAAACTGTAGCGAAATTGGTAATAAAAACTAACCTCAGATTATCTTGCATTCACAATTTTCTTGTGTGTTTGAGAAAAAACTTTATCTAGCAGATGCATAGCTAATATCCTAACGGTCCATCTTTCATCTGCTTGTTTTCTTGCATTTGATATTAGAATGTAGTTTGTACTCTAATAGTTACCAATATCCAATAAGGAATCTCATTCTAGACTATTGAAGAAGAACTGATGTAAGTTAGAACTAATATGGCAAAGTAGCACCAGAAGTTCCCATGTTGTTTTATTTCAATTTGTAAGGCTATTCTAAACTGTTTAATGGTAGATCCAAATGATGGAGGATATATATTATAGACATCAAATCACACATGAGAAAATAAGAAAAACAAATGGGATGTGTAGCTCTTTAATTGGTGACCAGGAACAGATATATATGCTCCGATCCTATTATTAGCTCAACAACCAAAATACCAATTAGTGGGGAAGTTTCAAACAAAAATAGTATATTAAAAAAAAGCAAATAGAAGTTCTTGATTCACTGGGCCATCTCTTCACCTTTATTCTCCAAAAGCACCTAACGAGCAACCCTAAGCCAAAATGGAAACATCAAAATATCCTCTTGACAAACCAACCACAGTTTATATGGCATTCCATGCCTGCGTGGCTAAACAGTTGCACCATATATACATTTAGAAGAGTAAACCCCATACGAAGTATACCGAATTAAGCAGTCTAACTAGCCAACCAAAAACCTTATCTGTTCACTGCTCAACAAGGCAGCTAAACTTGAGGTCGATCCAACTACTTGGGGAACCTGAGGAGGTCAGCTGGCTCGCCACTGAGGTACTGCAGTGGAAGCCTCTGCAAGGATGACTATCCATTGAGTTCCATGAGCTGCTGTTAGTATGTCACCATTGAGGAGACAGATGCTGCGGTGATCTTGCCATGGAAGAGCTGGTCGAGGTTCTGGTGGGAGGCAAGGAGCTTGTCTAGGATCGACCAATCAGTCGTGCCAGCAAAGCGGTCAACACCACCTCCAGCACCACCACCATGGAGCATCCCGTCACTGCCGTTCAATTTCAGCTTCATCAGGTTCTTCGAGCACTCAACTTCGAGTGTGCTCATGGCCATGGCAATGCCAGGCTGGGTGGGTAGGAGGGTTGGCACATGCTGGTCGCTGCTCATCAGCTGTGGGAGCTGCATGGTAGGGTTGAAGGAAGGGAAGTTATTTTGCATGAGGTGTGGGTTGTTCTTGTGGTCTGTTGGCCGGGAGCCATGGACTGGAATGGGAAAGACTGGAGCCCATCATCATCCAGTGCCGCAATCTCCGCCGGATTGAGGCCTCTCTGATGATAGCTCTTCTTGAATCTTGAAAACCCTACACAACACCCATCCATTTTCCTGCAGATCATATCAGTGTTTGAGTCACTTTACAACTCACTAAATAGAAACAAAGAACAGTACAACGCACATATATTTACATGATTTGAGTGACATTATTCCATTGGTTGAACTTGGAAGCGAATGAAAGGCAGAGAGAGAAGGTAAGAAATTTTTTCGTCGTTGAAAGAAAAAAAATTTGACATGCGAGAGGGTTGTGTCTCATCAATATTGGTCTCGCAAAAAAATATATTTTTGGTTCTCGTCTTATATGACAGAAGTAGATCAATTGGGAGCAAAAAAAATCAAATACATGCTCACCAAAGATGGCTGCCTTATGGAGTGAGGTAGGGATATCAAGTCCAAGATGCTCACCAAAGACAAATCCTATATAGCCTGTGGTAGATGGGTTTGAGCTGTGTACTAGTTTTGGATTGATTGATGGAAGCATTGACTATATATACTGATAGGCTCTCTCACACAGCAAGGGGTGTCCATGCGACCATGCATGTATATGGTTATATGCATGTATGTGTGTCTTGGGCTCTTGGCTGGATCCGGAAGGACAAAATGAAAAAAAAGGGCCTGCTGTCCTTGAAAGGGGACCTGCCCCAAAACTGGCCTCAGAACAAGCGATCAGGTGTCTATATCTACAGCATTGCCATTATTGTGTGATTTTGCAAATTTGCTCTTGCGAAACATGGCAAGTTTATCATTTCATCTGCATGGAGCTGGTGTTGCCCCCTTTGGTCTAGTTCCTTGGTGGCTTGGTGATATGTATTATAGGATATAGCAAGGGTGCATCTGAAAATTTGCAGTGACTTAGTTAACCTGTAATATAGGCTTGCATGAGGGAGTCAAGGGGAACAAGGGAATTAAACCTCCTATTCCATCTTTCTAAATCCCAACATCTCTATTGCTCTTCTGTTCCCTGCAAATCTATACATTATTTCATGATCCTTCAGATTAAACAATCTTTTACTGTTTGACATACTGGTACTGCTGATACATTACTATACTAGTCACAATTAGGGACCTTTGGCTCCAATAACCTAGCTATAGGCGAATCTAAAATTACTAACTTTGCGTGGCAACTGATCTTGAAACTTAACTATAGGAATAGATGCCTACCAGACCTTCAAAAGAACATCAGGAAGTAATCTATCGTTTTCAACCTATGGTAGTAAATAACAAATATATGTAACCAATCTGTAAAAGGTGATTCAGTCTTAGCTCGATAGCTAGTGTGTGTGTGTGTGTGTTCGGGTCTATGTGTGGCTCTTTTCTCCTTCATTTCATACAATGATACGCAGCTCTCCTGCGTGTTCGAGAAAAAAAACAAATATATGTAATGCTTAAAGTCAAAACGAAGAATGCATTACTAGTCATATGATTATTTGCTACATAATATAAACAGAAGATGCCTTTTGAATTTACTAGCAATATGTACACACATATATATAATAATCATGAAAATCATACAGTAACTATCTATGCAACAAAAAAAACTTCATGCGCATGTCATATATAAAGAACTAAAAACATCTTGAACAAGAAATTACAAGAAATTTTTAGAGGATAATGATTTCAGTGCAGGATTTTTTTTGCTTAGCTTCTGCCCTCTACCCTCTGGTATTGTAGGATCTGTGCAATCTCAATACTTAGGAAAAAAGATTAGCTGGATTTTACATGCCTTAAGTTTACGGATAACTCTCAATTTTGACATTTGCTATTTGAGCTGTGTCTGACAACAAATCTTAAAATGTTTAGGTAAATAAGAAAATGGAAAAAATGGATTACCATCAGAAGTATAATAGAAACATAAAGGGCGTACCCAGTGTAGAGAGCTCCTGCTCTGTGCGGGGTCTGGGGAAGGGTGTTAGTGGCAAGCCTTACCCTCGCCTGTGCAATGCGAGGAGGCCGCGACTCGAACCCGGGACCTTCCGGTCACAGGCGGTAAGACTCTACCGCTTGCACCAGGCCATAGCTTGTAGTATTTGTACATACACTTGTGAAAAAATATTCAAAGTTTGAATAGTAAAATCAAAGTTAATTCTTATTTGTGAGTGGGAGTATAAAACTCTGTTGGAGTGGAATAGAGTAATAGATGATGCACGTGTGCAGGAATAAGCATAATGACCTGAGCATTAGCGAATACATTAATGCCCTGAGCATTAGCAAATAATGTATTCTTACCAAAAAGTGAGTCAGTTTGTACTGTAGTCTGCACTGTGGAACACAATGTCGTGCCTTTACGAGAAGTATGAATTTCAGGGATACATGTCTGGCGTTTGGTCTTTTCCTTGTTCACTTGTTGCATTCTTTGTCTGTATGTTGACATCTAAGACCAGTGCTTGTTGGTACCTTTGCCTTATACTTGGTAAATATATTTTTATTAATCTGGTGTGACTTGTGAGTGAGCCCTGGATACATTAGTTTATGAGATCACTAGG